CCAAGGACGGACTGACTCCCTCTCTTTCTACCTCCCCAAAACACATTTGGATACATAGTAGAACATTATCCTTGTATAAAATTTAATATTTTATTATGTATTACTCCCAAATGCAAGGTCATATTTGAAGATTTTGTTTGTTTGTTTTTGATTTTGGGGCTTTGAGGGTTTTTAAAATTTTTTTTTTTGAGCCAGACAGAAAGAAAAGCAATGGAAATCATTTTTTAAAAAATTGTATCACTTGAGGCATTAATACACTTTTCTTTTTGTCATGAGCATTACATAGACTATAGGAAATCTCCTTGCTTTTATGTTGTTTAGATTCAAATATGAATCTCAATTACTGCATTCTTATTAATCCATTTGATAGTCTATGCTTCTTTACTTTTTTTTGTTGTTCTGATTATTCCTTTTATATATCAAGTGTCTCTATCAATATAGATCAATTAATAAACACATTATTATAAAATATAAACAGAATATCAATTAATATTCTTTATTGACTATTTATTTTTCTTCTTAATTAACTGAAATCTCTTTAAAGATAAAAACCTATATTGTCCTTACTTTTTTATCTCTCATAAAAGGTGTATAATGCTGAAAAGAAGGGTTATGGAATTGAAGACTGACCACATCAAAATTATGTTTATTTATGTCATTTGTCTGATAATACTTGAAGCATTATTATTGCACAATCTAGTTCTTAGAACCAACAAATCTCATTAACAATGTCTAATAGAATAAAATAAATATAGGTGTTCATTAAAATTCACATGTAATAAAATTAACAAATGCTTATTTTAAATGACTTAGCCCCAGATAACATTACATAGTAAACTAAATGTAATTCTTTACAACTAGATGAGCTAGCACTTCAAATTATTTTTCATGGATGTGTGGTGTAAACATTAGATTTCTAAGTAAAATATTTAATTAGATGCTTTCCCAAAACCTTGCCAAATTTCCAGACAAATATCAGTACTTCTGAAATATTTAAAATAATTTTGTTCTAAAATAAATCATATGGGCTAGAATTAAGATATCTCTATTAAGATAAAAGTAATATGTTAAATTTCCAGCAGATAGAAATATTCTGTTTGCCCAAGTTAGATCCTCAGAGTGGTATTAAGATTGTTCTTTTATTGTACAAGTAACTTATAAATTTATTCTAAATTTGGAGTGATGGTTGAAACACATTTTAACACTAAATTACTTAATGCATTTTTTATTTTTGACTTTTGTAAATGTATGATTACTTGTTTCTATTTTGTTTCTGTATCTATCTTGTTTCTGTATGATTAATAGTTTCTATTTTCAAGAATGTTTAGTGCACAGTATCTCATCCTACCTGTGAACGATTTATTTTATATTTGCAAATCTTGTCCATAAGAACACTGTTACCCTAATTAGAATCTGAGCATTTATTATTGATTATTTCTCTCCTTTAATAACACATAAAGCATTTCTCTCTTTGTTTCTAAGATGATCATTTTTATTAACCATACACTAAAATACCTTACTAAAAATAATTTTAAATACATTTTAAAGCACCATATAACAGTGTATTAAATAACAGATGCTGAAGAAAGCAAATATAGAAAGAGTTTACATCAAAACTGGCTGAAGACAAAGAATGTATATAGTCTGAAGTTAAAAAAAAGGTTAAACATTCAGTGTATAAAAAACATGAAACTAAATGAGATGAGGTCACTGGGAGCTCTAAGATGAAACTGAGGAAGTGAGATTGGCAAGCAGGGTCCTGTATTCCCTTGCCTTTTTGTCAACCTTATTAGGAGTTTTTCTTATCATCTCTAATCACATTTCTCGGGGAAGAAATCATACACAATGCAATAATAGTGACAGTCTATGCTACCACTTCGAAAGAAACCACAAAAGAGGGTCTTGGTAGGAGGAATTAACTCAGATATATTACTAGTTTCTTCAGAGCAAATGTGGAGGTATTTTTTTTCTTCTGTGTTGTTCCTACTTTGTAATGAACAAATCTTTTTTTTTTTTAAATATGAAATGCTAAACTGGAAATTTTAAACTGGAACTGAAGCTGCTAGGTAGCTATATGAATTTTATAGCTGAAACATTATCGCATTTCTACTCATTACTGAAAAAAAAAATAAAAACAAAGAATAAAAAAACAAAGCATAAAAGATTCTCCCCTCTCCTCAATACCCTCTCCCCAACCCCCAGCACCTGAGTTGGCAAATTCAAATCAACAGTAATTACATTACCTATTACAGACATCCTGACTTTTCTGGCCATCACCTCAGAGTAATAATCTTATAATTAGCCAATTTGTACATCGGACCCCCAAATTCATTTCCTTCACACCAAATGCCTCAATCAAAACACAGCTCAGGACTTCCTCTGATGTAGGATCAAAGCTTATTTTCCGCTAAATTCCCAGTACTCACTCAAATTGAAACTGGACAGCTATACTTTCAGAGTCGACACCCAAAAACCCTTGGCTTACTTTATTACTGTGAGACAAATTAGTCATAACAATATCTCAAAACTCTGTAGTTTTTATTGTAGTTCTTCTGTCGGATGATCTGTTGATCAAGTTGTGGTGTGTTACTCATGCAAAGTGTGCTGAAACAAATGTTCTGATAATTTCTTTTCCATAAATTAATTCATTCAAATACAATTTCATAAGATCCAACACATATTTTAAGAAGTGACCAGAATATATCTATTCTAGAACTAATGCCCTAATATGTACCTAAAAATGCTTCACTAACAGAGTTTTGTACCTTGTCATGTTGAGAAGTCTTTAAAGGACAGCCTTGGACTGATTATTAGTGATGTGTCTAAGAGAAATAAAAGAGCCAATTAAAGTTTAAATCCTAGATTTCAGTAGAGCTAGAATAAATATTTAACACTGGGAAAAACCATCCTTCATCAACACCAACACTGTCTGCCATTATACAGACCAAGCAATTGATTGTGTACTTCATATTTTAGCTGATCAAGCCATTGTCTGCAATGCAGTCCTTCACAGTGTGGCATTTAAAGAAGAGATATGAGCAAGAATGTAGGATTCAAATTGGATGAAGTCACATGCTCGCCAGTTCTGAATACGTCAAAAATAAAATAGGCAAAGTTTATGTTAACCTAACAGCAAAGTTCATTTGATGAAATCTTGCGTGATGTAAATACAACTAATAACAGAAAAAGGCAGCATAATGTGTGGCCACAAGATATTTTTACATAAAATAAATACATGTTACTTACTGGATGTTCAAGTTCGTGAAATCACTGTTATCATAATTTAAGATATAATTTTTAACTTTTCAACCTGCAAACTAGTCACTGCCAAGAATTCTCAACTTGAGAAAGTAGAAAAATATGAAAATAATCAATAAGATCAACTGTGTTATAAATAATGCTATAATTAAAATTAAATGCATCAAAAATATTGAAGACTCACACTAAAATGTTCCATAAGGAACAAATGACAATAATAAGATTTAAGAATTTTAAGATTTAAGAATTATTATGAACACTTCTTTATATATCTTCTAATATATAGAGTTTTCATTATTGGGAAGATAACCAACCATCCCTGCCCACATAAATCATAAGAACAGTGGAAGCAATGAATGATTACAAATTATAGGGAAACTAATGTGTACTTGATCAGTGCTGCAGAAATATTTTATACCTACACTGATGCATTATATCTATTATATCATCCACCATCCTCCAAATTACGAAGTGGCAAACTAAAAAAATGTCAAAACTTAACCTTCACATTTCTAAAATATCTTCTTCCTCCAGATATATAAACACTCTAACAGAAATTATTTTATCTTTTTAAATATTTTGTGATTAGCATAAACATAGAATTATAATTACATAGGAGTTAGAATAACAGTAACATTGAAGAGGAAAAAAAAACCCTGATTCTCAACATGGATAAATATATGACATTAACAATTATTATAAAAGGAAATATAATATAAATTCCTTTTTCAAAATATTTTAGGGTACAAATGAAAGAGTGAGGTGCCTCTTTGTGTCTAAACAAAATTATAAATTGTACTTCTTTATGTTTATAATATGGAATAAAACTTTGAGAACAAATAAGGTTAAAAAAATCTTTTGTCAACGAATTGTGCTCTTTTAGCAAATTCTTTTAACTAAATACACCATAGATAAAGATGTTTTACTAAACAATGTAGTAATTTTATTCCAGAAACTATGATAATACTATAACAAATAAACATACTAGAATAGCAAGCTTATCTTTTAAAAACTGATTATTACATAAAATAACATGCATATCTCAGAGTATCTGATCAATTATTTTGCAAATAATATTTCTCTACACTCTTTGCTAAAATCAAAGATCTCTACTTTGACTTTTAATTTTTTTGGAAACAGTACACATTATTAAATTGAACTCTGTTACTTTATGAAATCAATGTATGTCTTTTAAATTAAATAATCCCATGACAATACATTCAGAGAAAATATTCCTAATTATTATGGAACCGAAAAAAAAAAAAAAGCAAAAAGACCTCTACCACAATGAGAAACAATCACTCCCCAAAGCCAGTCCATACACATATTCTAGAAGAGAATATAAACTTATTTCTGAGCTCATGGCAAATATTAGGCAATTTTAAAGCACTGGAAGAAAGAAATTAGAAGTAAAAATTTGTCCAGAGACTCTCTTCATTAGTAAGGCACTGCCATTGTTGCCTTTCACAATTTTATAAAGCCAAACCATGAAGTGTATTCCATAAAAATGTGAACAATTTCATTATCTTTTAGTTTCATATTTTAAAACCAACCTTAGCTGTCCTTCATCAAGTAATTTATGAACATCTATAGAATTCATTAAAACAATCAAAAATTTTGGTTCAAAGTCAACAAGCATAGAAAAATGAGTGAAGCAAAGCAAAACAGAACAAAAACAAGTCAAAACAAGTTGATCACATATTTCATGAATTAATGATGAAAAACAAAAAGAGACCTCTTACCAAGTACCCCAAGGCGATAGTTGACTGTGATGACGATCACATTGCCATAACTTGCCAAGACACTCCCATCATATAAATTTCCAGTACCTTCCATATATGAGCCACCATGGATATACACCATCACTGGTTTGGGACCCCCACTGTCCCGAATATCTGGAAAACAAATGGTTGGCAATTGTTCTTATCTCAAAAAACACACATAATGAAGCAGAGAATATATTTTCCATTTTAGGGACAAGAGGGCATGATTTTAATATAGCTTTTTAAATTGCTGCTTTTATTAAAGTGTTTCTTAAGCAATTTATATTAAGAGCTATTGTAGAAAAGATCAATAGGCATCCATTATTTCATATCTAGAGTTTTGTTTACAAACTACAAACCAAATTACAAAATTTAGACAAATTGAAATTAATTAATTGAAATTAAGTTTGAATGTTAGTGCATTTTGATTAAATCCTGAAGTGACAATAAAACTAAAAAAAAGAGAATGACAATGACTCTTAGGACCACTTTTTAAAAATGTTATAGACTTCACAAGGAACTTATGAACCATAAACTAAGGACAATAGTATTATTTGCATTGTGAGTAAAACAATATTTTTCCATTTTTTATTTACTGTAAAACTTTGTATCAAATGTAATCTGATTACATTAAGTCATTTATGCTCCAATTTGTGAACATAATTACAGTATTATGTTATATATTGCAAGAAGTTTTGTTTCACTATTTAAGTGATGATAGATGTATGTTCAGACAGTAAAGTATGTGCATCTATGTTCCTCTTATTGCATTTATGGAAATGATATTTAAGTGATAGTTTTTAGAAAGTCCAGGACATCCACTCATTCCACCCACTCTTACCTTTTGGGAGAAGAGAACAGACTAAATTATATTTTTTCACCTCTTTGTATAGGCAATATACTCTTCTTATTCCCACTTTGACTCTATGTTTTTATCATTTAGTCATGAGACAGGCTAGAGCTAAGTGTAAAGTACTAAAATTTAGAGTGATGTTAAGATGATTTCTACAGCTATGAATTTTAGTCAAATATGTTTGCTTTTCTAAGATATTTTCCCTAATTATGTAATTTTCATAAGGATATAAAAATAATATATAAAAGAAACATAAGATAATTTTAATCAATATTAAGAAAGGACTGATACCTATAGAAAAAAGCTAAACTGTAAATGGGCAAAAATGGTTTTAATTATATATTATGTAGATTGAAATATTATAATATATGTATATATATGACTATGAATGTACATAAAAACATTACTAATATGTAATAGCCCTGGATCTTTTATACCCCAAATTAAAACAAAATTAGATCAAGTATATTTTTAATACTAATATTAGAAAGTGTCATTTAATAATATGGTTTTGTTTCTTTACTTTTGACATTTTTTATCAAACTTAACTCTCCTATATTTTAAAAATCAAAGTACCAGCTTTCAGAATGGACTAATATGATACAAATTCATTGAAAGAACAAAGGTTAATATTTAGAGACTGCTTTATATTACCTATAAAAATGACTTATATAAATGCTTTGATTTTTATACTGTAATAATAAAGTGCTTTCTTTAAAGGAAAAATTATTTTAGGATAAGGAATTGCAGCTCATCTTACTTGTTCAGATATTTAAGTAGGGGAAATGGTTCATTGCAGAACTTTTTAAAAGACTATTTTAAATTTGACTTAATATGAGTGTATAACTAACTTCCACCCCTCACCCTCCCAAGCATGTGCTTGAGAAGAGTGTCTTGTTTTAAAGTAGTGACAGGAGGATACTTTAACATAGAAATATCATCCTCTAAAAACAGCTATGTTTAAGAAGGAAACCTAAATTTACTTTCTCCTTGAATCCTTGGGAGAGGTAATGGTATTCACTCATTTGTAAAGATTTGAGAGCTTGTGGAGATGTTAGACTTACACAGAGAAAGTAATCCTTTTGAAATTGTTAAACTATGCACCTTAAATGCCTGTGTGCTACATACGGTTCCAGCTTCTTATTTTTCTAGTATGGCTGGCACTGAAGAGGCAATAATAAATTATTAAACTGAAATCATTAACTGACTGTTCACAGCAGACACTGTACTCTGCTAATTGTATGCTTGGAGGTAGCACAGAGGGAGGCTGTTTCAGAATTCTTCTTTAATTAAAATTACATAGAATTACAAAGCACCAACTGTGAACAGTAATGAAATCTTAGTAGAACCATTCTGTTCACCTGGAAAACAATACAGGCACACATTGAGAAGACCTGCCACGTTTTATACCTAATAACAAAATGAAGCAGACATTGTCAGGAAACTCTGAAAATATGACAATAAATTCTAGGAACTCTTTTAAGTGGTATCTCTTTTTTTCTTTGAAAATTAGACTTGAAAGGATTACTGATAGTTTGGGTTGATCCTAATTTCCAATTTGTCTTTACAAACTTTTCAAAGATTTCAGCCTTGCCTAAGAACTTAATATATTGAGCAGTTCTTTTTCCCAGAATGTTTTATGAAATTCTAATGCTATGTTCTGAAAAATACATTTTTCACTTGAAGTAACACTGAAGTTAATGTTATAAAAAATATTAATTACTAAAATAAGTAAAATTCTTGGATATAACCACTCTTAATTTGCTAGTAATGTTTGGGAAACTGTATAAACTTTAGAAATTTTCTATTACAGAAAAATTAGAATTCTTTGATAATGTATTGTCAGAATGGTCTATCTTAAGCTTTACTTTTTATATTGTTTTCTCAAAGATTTCTATCTTAGGCTTTACTTTTCTGCATATATTACTGGGTATTTTTGATGTGGATAGTAACGAAAACAGTTTAAATTATAACTATTTACTTCATGTTTTAAAGGAACCAGAAATTTTATAAATAAAACTGATAGTCTACCATTGAATACTATCTGCTAATGTCATAATTTTAATAATAATATTGAGGGGGCATTTATCATCAGTACAAATATATCAAATGCACTTTAGTAATTTATAATGAATTTTTTAGACCCGAGTCATCCCACTAAACATTGTCTCATATTTAACCAACTATAAATATGGTGGAATGTGTGAGCTACGGATTTTCACCTAACAATTTTTACTTTGCCTAAAACAGCTGCTACCAATTTTATTTAAATTGTGAGAATTTTCTCACAATTTAAATACTAGTTCAATTCCAGTAAAAACTACAAATGTTATTCCATTTATCTAGCAAATAAAAATGCACTCAAAAAAAACCCTACAAATGTTTATCAAGCATGTTTATATTTTCTGTTATTTGCAATGTTTTTGAAGTTTTTCTATTTTTTTACTGTAGGTGCTTATTGCTGTAAATTTTCCTTTTAATACTGCTTTTTTCCATATCCCATAGGTTTTGATATGTTGTGATTCTATTTTCATATGTTTCAAGAAATTTTTAAATTTCCTTCTTTATTTCTTCCTTGGCCCAACAGTTCAATGTTTTTAAGTTGTGCTAAGCACATAGGGACCTGAAAAGAGTAGGGGAAAATAAATATTACAATGATGATTATTTTTCTTCTAAATTTTTAAGAAAGTATTTTAATTAAGTTCTTCAAGTTGGAAAAAAATAAAAAATTGGAATCTGAGTACACAACTTGATTTTAAGTTTTAGTAACTATTTTATTTTTCTGATAAACCAAAATTTTAAGCCAATGTAGCAAGTGGCAATAAATCTGCAGCAGTTATTGTAGATTTATTTGTGTTTGACAACCAGGGTTTGGAATAACATTTCCTTTAATGGGCTCTTGTGCTTAATTATTAATCATATAACTAACTCCTTTAATATATTTATTGGTTTCTATCTTCTTAAAGGACCCAAGTTTTTGATCATATTTCAGAGTTTTGGGATTTAACAGTTTTAGAATTGTGAAACAACATCTCAAATCTTATTCTAATATACAAAAATATATTTCAAGGCATACTTTTGTGCCTCCTAATTATTTTCATGAACCTCAAGTTATCATTCAGAACCAGCAAAAGAATATAGAAGTGTTGGCTGAATTTTTGTTTGTTAAACTGCACTTAGAAAAATTAAAGGTACATCTTTAGCTAATAAATATAGAAAATCTACAAGGCAATTTTTATAAAACTCTGTGTAGGATATAAAATTGCATTTAAATATTAAGATATTAATATTTAAATATTTCTTAGCATAATTTAAATAATTTTTAAATATCTCAAATTTCCAAAAAAATTGGTAGGGGAATCTGGGATGTTGTTTAAACCATTTTTATCACTTAAGATTAGATTTTTTAAAAGTATAGGAATAGCTCATAAAGTATACAGTTCTTTTGTTTATTGAAAAACACAAATGAAAAAATGATACATTGTGTTTGACCTAAATATGGCAAAAGAATGATGGTAGGGGCACAAATAAGAATTAGAAATGAAGAATAGTGCTCCACAGAGAAGAGAGACTTTCATTAGATTAAGTGAATAAGGGGCAAGTTCCAACCAACGTAGCAGGTAGCTTCCCAGTGCAGTGGCTGAGAGAGGGTCCTGGAAATCAGGCACAGGTGTAAAACTATTGGATAATCAGAATTTCATATAAATGATCAGATAACCTGACTTCTTACTGAAGTAAAAGAATTAGTTTATCAAGTAATTTATTTGTTGCTTTAAAGTCAAGTGATACTGATTCAACATTTGGAACAATTTAAATGTGAAAATTGGACACAGTTTATACTCACACCCACATCTACAAAATAATTGTAAAAGGATTTGAATAAAAGATGCTCAGACTTTTCTACAAAACATTTTTTTCCTGTAGGATATTTGAATTCATCTTTCTTGTCTTCAAAGCAATTATACCAAACAGGATAGAGGAATAGACCAAACTTGAATTGACCGTTGTGACAGTCTACACTTCAGAGCATTTAAAAATATTTATTGATTTAGTAACTCTTGTGACTGAGTGGCTTAGTTCAAATACTACCTGCCAATTTAAATAGCGGTTTAGGATTATTTTAAATATTTTAAATGGCTATTTAAAAATGTTAAATGTGTTTCAAAACAGCTCTATAAGATAGATTCACGTTAACATGCCTGAACTATGTTTGCTCAAAGGTATCTATTCTAAACATGTAAATGTCTTACTTAATGCTGCTCTACCAAAAAATATATATACATATATATATATTAAATGAGCAATCAAAATATTTTTAAAATAGGAAAGTAATGTATATTAACCTTGTGACTACCTTGGGAACATTTGACGTTTACAAACATACACACTAAAAAGCACTGTATACATTAAGTGTTTAGATAACAAATATCTAGGAGTTAAGAATTTTTAAAGGGTTCAGTAAATTCCAAAGCCTGAAAGTGGAAGCAGTCTTCTACAGAGCTTTGGGAACAGTAAACCATGTCCTACAAAGTCAGTAAATGTCCTGAATGTTTGAATATATGAGATTTCCCACAGTGTTAAAAAAAAATCACAATTTGCATTTTGATACTATATCTATTTTTAGCTATTTAACTTTCAAAATAATAACTCTTGGACAGCTATAATGATTTATTAATATTTCAATATTAATGACTGCTTCGTGTTTAATCTTTATTCCACTGCTGGAGTTCATGGTAAATTCTTTAATCAAATGTCATAAATTTCATTTAATCAAAATAATTCTTATATGTTGTAAAAATAATAACATCAAATATAGTTTTTAAGTTTTCAATACCTCACCTCTGTAATTTCATTTTCTATTGTGAAGGAGTTTATTAAATATATGTGTCAATGCAAACTGCAAATTATTTAGTAAAGATTCATTTATTCATAGTTCCCTTATAACTCATAAAACTAGCATTTCTATGGACCTAGCTGTTGATTATTTCATTTTGAAAAGCCCTTCTTATTATTAATGTGGTCATGAGATTTAATTTCTAGGTTTCTGACAATTTAAAATTAAACCTGGTATTATATTGGTTACCTCTATAAGAGTTTTGAGTAGGATAGCATTAAAAAAAAAGAAAGAAAAATAAAAGTAAAAAGCAAGTCCTAAATGGAACCAAGAATCAATTGGCCTCTTAGACATCCAATTTAACATCAAGTAAGATAGAGTGAGATGAGAAATATCTCAATGGAGTGAGTACTTAGTTTTACAGAATAAATCAGAATTATATATCATAAGAAAGTTGGAAAGAGAAAACAATTTTGATATTAATGAAGTAGTAAATATTTTATTGCTTATGGTTGGCAAAACTTTGAAAATAAGAATATTTTATTTGCCAATCTAGAATTGTCTCTGAAATTAAAAGATATTCATTTAAACTTGTTTAAAAAATACCTATTCATCCTACCAAAAATACTATTATGTGTCTAAAGTACGCACAATGCTTACTGCAGCTATCTAAACAGGTATAATGCCTTTCTTATCTACACAATTTAATTTTATTTATATGACATTTAAGCAAATCAACAAAAAAACAGTATTTCTTTAAAATATATTGCTCAAGAAACACTTTTATATCAGCTTTTGGCTTGTCCTTAATATCATTGGGTGTGGGGTTCTTTTTAAACAAATATCAAATGTAAAAATGAAACACATTTTGATATTGGGTATAATATTTACATATATTAGAAGACATGCAAAATGGGCACAGAGAGACTACAAGGGAGAGATTGTTAGTTCAAAGAATGTGGACAAATTTCAGTCAAAACGTGGGATGAAACATATCAAAAGTCAGTTCAAGAAAACAAAAAAATGCCCCTCTTTTTAAAACATTTTAATGGTTGGCATCAAAATGTAAAACTTAACATTCATTTTTTTAAAAAAATTAAAAATGTATATTTATATGTAACAACAAGCAAGAAGACAAAACACATCAAAAACGGGAATTAAAAACAACTCTTCAAAAAAAGACAAGAAGTAAAAAAATAGAAAGGGGTGGAAAAAGTGATTGAGGCCCTTGTCATGCAAATAGATTTGGTGGAAAAAAATACCTTCATCTTCAGCACCGTCATTATCACCTAAATCATCTGTCTGTTTCTTTGTAAGGGGACCTAGGATTGAGAACGGAGAAATGGAGGGAAAAAAAAAAGACAATTCAAGAATAAACAAGACTGAGGGGAAAAAAGAAATATAAATACTAAAATTCTCAAGGATACTTCCAAAAAGAGTGGGGAAGTGGTAATGTCATAATTGATTATCTATTTTGTTTAAGAAAAAAATCCCTTTCCCCAAAATATCTCATAGAAGATTTGGTTTGTGAATAAATCCAACATAAAAAATACATTATGTTTTGAAAGTCAAGTCATAAGCAAAGAAAATGATTTTTTTAAATACCCATTGCATACAAAAAGTAAACAGTTTTATTAGTTGAAAGAACTTAATTTATTCAGTGTCTTTTCTAATTTAAATTGGTGACAGCAATAAAGAAAGTAGATCAAACTCGTTCTTTTATTTGGAACAACATAATAACATTAGAGAAAACAAGAGATATGAAAATTTTTTAGTTGTTTTCTTTTTCTTTTGTTTTTTTTGTAAGAGCATTAACACATAGTTTTTACACATTAACTTATACATTTTTCAAAACTGTGACTTTTTAAAATTACTTGTCATTACACAAATATTTCCCCATGTGTTTTCATTTAAATATTAGCTGTGGATTTAAGACATTTGCAGCCTGCACCATATATCAATGCATAATCTCATCAGTCAGCAGAGCAAAGGTACCATCAATAGAAGTCAGTGTTTAGTTATTAAAGTAGTTACAAACTCAAGGCTTATATTTCATAATCAATTTAGTAATATAATGGAATTATGCCTTAGTACAGTTTCATGCCCAGTATAGTTATTTATAATAGGATCATGTTTTAGTAGAATAATTGTATTAAAACACTGTGAATGTTTAATAAATGTTTTATTATACTTAACAATGCTAATTTGCTAGAATAAAGGAGCACACACCAAAGGGGAAGTCAAAGGCCAGATGAAAGTAATTTTAAGTGTCACATAGTTGACATACTCAGCACACAAAAAAAGCAAAGTGAAGCATTCTTTTGTTTCCAAAACCATTTAATTTGTATGATATTTCATATTCTTCATGCAAAAAGCAATCACTTACAAACACAGAACACTCAAGCTAAAAGACAGCCAACCACATAGCAGTAAGCAAGAGAATTTCATCATGCAAAAAAAAAAGTCATAGAAAAAAGTGTAAAAAAAGGGACAGAAAGTCATGTGTTGATTTCAATAAGAAATAGTAAAGAAGCAGGCATTTAATTCTAAGAACACTTTATACGGAAGGATTGTTAAACATTTTGATAGAGACTTGTAAGTCTTTTCAGAGATTATTGTGCATTGTATTTGTAATTCAAAACTAAACCTGCTATCATTAACCCTCAAGAAATGAAAAACACTACCCCAGAAAACAGAAGGAAAAAAGTGAGCTATAATACAGTTATGCTTTATCAGCTCTGAGAGATAGCCTTGAAAAATAGTAATAACTGGAAAAGATTAAAGTATTGGAAAAGCAGAAACTGATGATGTAATTTAAGGGACTCATTCACTATCTCAATTGTAAGGTTATAATTTGAAGTTCATTCCAAATACAGACAGGGAAAACTGTACACAACAGATTAAGTGATATACTTTTATAGTCACACCTGTAAGCAATTATTCCATTAAGATAAAACCTAGATAAAACAATAACATATTAATTGGCACTCCATTGCAAGTTCACAGAAATCTGCCTTTCTTTAATATGACCCTGTTTAAATGCAAAAAGCACCCTTAGGATTATTTGATGTTAATACAACAATGTTGCTACATTTTTGAAATACATACATATTTTTAATTTAAAGTTTTAAATTGCTGAATCAAAATACTATAGTTGAAATATTTCTAATTTCATTCAAAATATTAGATTTCAAAAATTATACTTTCAAGCTTTTTATTTTTCTATAATTATCTAAGACTACACATATATATTTTTTCACAATTCTATTTTCCAGGATGCTATATAAAAGTTATGGTTTTAATTATTGGTTAGCAACACAAATTAAGTGCAGTGGTATTTATTTCTGCCAAAACTACTACTGACTTTCCAATTTGAGTTAAATGACTTAATCTGCTTAATTCTTGGCTATATTAAGAAAACACTATTGTAAGCTCAAAAAATTTTTTTGCTGAGTCATTAGTTTGCTAAAATATGAAGGCACATGTAAAACCTATCACAATCAAATTACTCTCTTTATTATGTTTAGGGCTATATAAGAAATCTCTCTTGGATGATTCCTATGAAAGTGCATTTCTTTTCCTTCCTAAGGTACCCAAGACAATTTACATGATTTCTATGGGAAATCATTCAGGTTCTACAGCCAACAAGCCAGTGATTTTACATACTTTACATGCAGACAGAATTGCTGGCTCTTGTGCCTAAAAGTCATACACTAGTAAAAGAATTTTTATTAAAACATCATCCCTCACTTCTTTCCATGTAGCACATAGTTCTCAGTTGCTATTTGACAGCATAAGTAGCGAAGTCATAGAAATGAGACTACACACACAGAGTTTTTCCTTGGATGGATGGTTGATTGACCCAGTTTTTTGCTATGGTTAGTTATATTACCACCTTTCTTACTGAGGAAACTGTGTGCCTCTTAACTGGTAAGGGATAATGATTGCTCACGTACATTTTACAGGACATCTTTTACTGTAATAATCTGAAGAATTACATATAGATATTGCTTCAATATTATAAATACATGAGGACATCATTAACCTACCGGAGGATAAAATCACATTCATCCAATAAATTTTATTTATTGATACTAAATAAAACCTTGTTATTAGGTGATATTAAATTGTTCCCATTGTATGGACTACAGCAGTATTTTAGTAATTCCAGCATAACAGGGTTTTTTTCTTTTTAACACTGAGAATTTTTACACATTTGATTTTTGAAGGTTCCCTGGGAAGAAGAGGGTTGGTAACAGTTTTTGGCAAAACTGATTATAAGAAGAAAGGAAATAGATTTCCTTTATCTCTATGCTGAAAGGCAGTGAAATAAATATCTGAGAGGGTCCAATGTTGCAAATTGGGAAACTCAACATTGGTTTCTCTGAGGAAGCCTCAGTGGAGTAAACATATGCTTGTGGATTACAGAAACTGAGCCCTGTGTGATCTCAGGGCTCCTTATCCCCATTCTAGAGACCAAACAGCATCGAGCTGCCTTCTTTCCTAGAGTATCAGCCACTGTGGCTCATATTTCCTTTATTCTAAACTGTCACAATTGATGTAATTACTGACATTAAAACATTTAAAGTAGAAAGAAATATTGTAAAAGGTAATTGGCAATAATTTTCTTATGAAAAGTAGATAATCACATTTTAGGGACTGTGTATTTCTCTAAGTGGTCCAGCATCATTTCCCCAATGGGTAAAACATGTATCCTTCAAACAGAAATAACAATTATTAACAACAATCCAACTATAGCTTATGTTTCTTTTAAACAGCAAATACTGCATTTTCAATACCAGCAATTTAAAATGGGTATCTTAAAGCACCAAAATATAAAGCAAATGAGACCACTAAAACCTGAATGTAGAAGTGATTTATTTTACCTTGAAACTCTATTGGGTCTGTCCTCCCTGAGGAACACACACATAACTCTCATTAGAGTTAATAGGAAAGTAGACCTCCTGTCATTTTGAAAGGGAGTGAGAGTAATTACTATATTTTATATCTCCTATAGGCAATAAATAGATTCAGTGGTGAAACAACAGGGCTAAGCAAGGTAAAGGGAACTCCTAACCATGAACTTTGAACTCATTTAATTAAAAAATAATTCCTTTGCAATTAACATAAGCATAATTCGAAGTATGGGCCTTTACAACAGACATGTAATACATTCTTACATCTCAGAATCTGACCAAAGAGCTTTTTACTTTTTAAAAAAGAAGCAAAAATATCAGCATTTCTCTGTAGTTAACTGGAGAATAATTATGAGCTTGGAAATAATTACTATCCACCCATATTAATGCTGCTTTTTATCATTCCCTTTGATGAAGGGCTAATATACTTTAGTTCTCAAATACATTAGAACTGATTATAAATTCCTTCATTATGGGTTCAATTCAGCAGAAATTATCCATACTTCCTGTCACACATGTCTACGAAAGGCAAATAGGCTGAAGGTATTATTAGCTCCTGATTTAGAAAAGGTGGCCATGAGAAATTTGTCCTTCTGTAGGGAACAAGTCTCTGAAAGTATTACAATTATTTAGAGCTTCTGGCTCCAGCCATCCTACCATGATAGATGGAAAGCCCTGGCTGGCGACCTTGTTCTCCTCTTTCCCTATCCTCTTGACCCAGCAGCCTTTAAGGTAAACGGATTGTAAAGCATCCCTAAGGCCATTTCTACAGAATGAGAGAATTTAAGGATATTGCCATTGTTGCTCTGGAGCCATCAGAAGCAGGCTAAATAAACATCCTAAGGCATGTATTCTCTCAGGAAAAAATATGGTTTATAAATGTGAAGCAAGGATGTGAAAAATCTATGTGTGGCCCATATGGAGGGCAATGCCAGAATTCAAAGCATTTTAAATGACAACAGTAGTATATTATTGTAAATGGACAAACATTAAAATGTAATGATTTTAAGAAATAAGATATCATGATAGTTGGTGTCATTGCAAAGCTCTTGAATTTTACTCATTGAAATGTAGTTGATTTTATACAACTAGAATGAATACATACCTTTTGAGAATATAGAAATGAGTGATAGTGATTTAGAATAATACTAATTTGATCCTACTATATTTATTTAACAAAAAGTTATCACATTTCTTAAACTATCAACTACAGATATAAAGAAATCATAAAGAATTCTAAACTGGTCATTATTCTGTTTGCATGATGCACATCTGATAAAGGACTGATAACAAGAATCTATATAGAACTTAAGAAAATTAACAAGTAAAAATCAAACAACCCCATCAATAAATGGGCAAAAGACATGAAATGAAACTTTTCAGAAAAAGAATAATGGCCAGCAAAC